CTTTTTTTGCAAGTCGTGTTATAGCTAGATTTATGCGACGATCCTCATATAAATCTAAGTCTGCTATACAATTTGCTACATGGAAGATTTTATAACGCCATGTATGGTATTAACAACAACACATGCGACGTTGCCGGCATCTCACATAAATCTGAGTCTGTTATACAATTGTATACAGGATATTTTCAATGCTATATGGAACAGATAACAGTAAAGGTAAATAACAGGTGGTAACATATAACAGATAACTTATAACAGATAAAGATGACAGATAACAGATAAAAAGTAACAGAGAAAGAAACAGATAACAAATAACTGATAACTGAAACAAAAAATGAAAACTGAAATCTGAAGATGAAAAATGAAAAATTGAAAATTGAAAATTGAAAATTAAAAAATCAAAAAATCGAAAATCAAATCGAAAAATCGAAAAAATCGAAAAAATCGAAAATCGAAAATCGAAAAATCGAAAAAATCGAAAAATCGAAAAATCGAAAAATCGAAAAATCGAAAATCGAAAATCGAAAAATCGAAAAATCGAAAAATCGAAAAATCGAAAAATCGAAAAATCGAAAAATCGAAAAATCGAAAATCGAAAAATCGAAAAATCGAAATCTAAAAATCTAAAATCTAAAATCTAAAAATCTAAAATCTAAAAATCTAAAATCTAAAAAAAAAATCTAAAATCTAAAAATCTAAAAATCTAAAAATCTAAAAATCTAAAAATCTAAAAATCTAAAATCTAAAAATCTAAAATCTAAAAAGCAAAAATCTAAAATCTAAAAATCTAAAAATCTAAAAATCTAAAAATCTAAAATCTAAAAATCTAAAAATCTAAAAATCTAAAAATCTAAAAATCTAAAAATCTAAAATCTAAAATAAAAATCTAAAAATCTAAAAATCGAAAAATCTAAAAATCTAAAAATCTAAAATAAAAATCTAAATCTAAAAATCTAAAAATCTAAAAATCTGAAATTAAAATCTGAAAATTGAAAATTGAAAATTGAAAATTGAAATTGAAAATTGAAAATTGAAATTGAAAATTGAAAATTGAAAATTGAAAATTGAAAATTGAAAATGAAAATTGAAAATTGAAATTGAAAATTGAAAATTGAAATTGAAAATTGAAAATTGAAAATTGAAAATTGAAAATTGAAAATTGAAAATTGAAAATTGAAAATTGAAAATTGAAATTGAAATTGAAAATTGAAAATTGAAAATTGAAATTGAAAATTGAAAATGAAAATTGAAAATGAAATTGAAAATTGAAAATTGAAAATTGAAAATTGAAAATTAAAAATTAAAATTAATTAAATTAAAAATTAAAAATTAAAAAGTAAAAATTAAAAATTAAAATTAAAAATTAAAAATTAAATTAAAATTAAAAATTAAAAATTAAAAATTAAAAATTAAAAATTAAAAATAGAAAAATTAAAAATGAAATGAAAATGAAATATAACCAGATACCAGACACCAGATACCAGACACCAGATAGCAGACACCAGTACCAGATACCAGACACCAGACACCAGATACCAGATACCAGACATCAGATACCAGATAAAGAGATAACAGATACCAAATACCAGATACCAGACACCAGACCCAGATACCAGACACCAGAAGCCAGATACCAGTACGAGATACCAGATACCAGATACCAGATACCAGACACCAGACACCAGACACCAGATACCAGATACCAGACACCAGACACCAGATACCAGATACCAGACATCAGATACCAGACACCAGATACCAGATACGAGACCAATACCAGATACCAGATACCAGACCCAGACACCAGATACCAGATACCAACCAGATACGAGATACCAGATACCAGATACCAGATACCAGCCACCAGATACCAGATACCAGACACCAGAAACCAGATACCAGATAAAGAGATAACAGATACCAAATACCAGATACCAGACACCAGATACCAGACACCAGATACCAGACCAGTACCAGACACCAGATACCAGATCCATACCAGACACCGTACAGCTACCAAACTACCAGATACCATGATAACCAGATACAAGATACCAGATAAACGATACCCAGACACCAGATACCAGACACAGATACCAGACTACCAGACACCAGATACCAGGACACCAGAACCAGTTACCAGATAAAGAGATAACAGATACCAAATACCAGACACCAGACAACAGATACCAGATACCAGACACCAGACACCAGATACCAGATACCAGATACCAGACATCAGATACCAGACACCAGAAACCAGTACCAGATACGAGATACCAGATACCAGATACCAGACACAGATACCAGATACCAGACACCAGATACCAGATTCCAGATACCAGATCAAAGATGCCAAAGGATATAAAAATGATTAGAGATAGTTATAGCTAGCATTGCATTAGCATACCAGCAACTGCGCTACGTGAGGTTTTAAATAAAGACATCAACGGACAATATTTAGCATAGCGTTGGCATGCTAAAAACTGCGCTAGTCGACTATATTAAGCGGTGATCGATTGTTTTAAGGAAGAGGTCACGTGACGTTAGAAATTTTGGGCGGGCGACGTCGACGCGGTTTTTCGGTTTTTTCCCGGTTCGCGAAACGTTCGGAAGGGAAGGAGGTACCGTTTCGGAAACTAGAAACTCGGCGCTTTACGGGCGGGCGAGAGCCGTCGCGGCGAGAGGAACGGATCGGATCGAAAACGGCCGGTAAAGTCGAAAAATCGACCGTTTTCCGGACGGTACGCGGCGTTATTCACACTGGTTTCGCCGTTTTATCGAAATATCGACTCGAGATCGGTCTCGTTCGATAGCTAAACGAAAAATACGTGCCAATAAGCTAAATCTGTTCGGTTCCGCGTCTCGGTTTTTTTTCTAGAAACGTTCGAAAAAAAAGCGACAAAAATGACGAATCGCCTTGAAAACTACGATATCTCCCTTATGCCGACGAGAAAAGGAATTTCGCGTGCCGCGTTTCGTACATCTCGGCGAGCGCTACAAATTACGCAGAGAGACGTTTTTTCGTTTACGGTACCCGTTTCGAATAAACGAACCTCGAACGTCGTCAAGAATGACTTTTTTTGCGTATAAAGCGCGCTGCTTCGCCGTATATCAGCTATCTCCTCCGAAGATAAAGGAGCTACGAACCTGACGATTTTTGCGTGAGAAAGCCCATGCTTCGGACACTCTTTTAATACTATTTTCATCATCATTATTCGTTTACGTTGAAAAGTTTCGATTTTTTAAAAATTCCTCGACAATACGCTATTTTCGACGCGTGAAAAAGTCACCTTGTCATCCGGCTCTGTCCTCGCTTATTACTACCGTACGTGAGCGAGTAAAAATTATACAGCTATCGAAAAATAACGATAATGATCTGACGAAACGATTCTGACCGTCAGAATTACCGTCAAATTTCGAAAAAGTAAACTTTGAGCGCCTCAAAAGTACCGATGACAACCGTTTTTCGGCGTACTTTGTCTTCATCGATACGCACCTGCGTTACGGAGCGACGTAGCTACGATTTTTTTTCGCAAAACGACAGGCCAAAGTCTCCTGATTAAACCGACATACGGCACGTTACCCGATCGCATTTTTTAAACTCGGCAGATTAGAAAATTCAAAGATATGCACACATTTTTAGTTTGACGTTTCAATTTTGAATTTCCCCTCCAGATCCCCGGATTCCTGTTAGGCGGGGTATTGTAGATACGATCGTATTACGAAAGCGAGCGAGTGCGAGCGAAACGTCCGAAACGTGCTATTTTCGGCTTTATGTCGGTCGCTTCATCGAATATAGGATCACGCCAAATAGAATTGTCCTTTTTTACGCGTGAAAATAAACATTTTCGAAAAGATTCAAAATTTCTATATTCCATTGTCTAAACGGACCGGACTAGAGCCATTAAAATCGGATGAATCTAGTAGTTTTTTATGTTTACAGATTGCGATGTCTACCGCCAAAGGCTGCAATTATTCTTTGACGTTCATCAATTTATTGAAATCATCATCGGTTTATAAATACGATAAAAATATGATTGTAAGCCCCTATTCATGTTATAATTTTACAATATGGCATAAAGCTCCGCTTTTCCAACCGATTGATATAAAGCGTATGTCTGATTGCATCACCTCCGATTTCTAACCTACAATGTATGAATGTAAACATTATCGAAATCTTAATAATGAGGCTCCCGTTAATAAGGATTAATTAGAAGCTTAGAACAAGCAATCGCAGCTACAAATAGTGAAAGTGTTGTGTGAAGTGTTTACAGTTTATGTGTTTCTATTGCAAACGTAAGTAGTCAGTCACTTCTATGAAGTTCAGTAAGAGTTCAGTCTTGACCCTCAGTTCAATGTATCTAAATATGTAGACCTATTAGCTGGCTAACAGTGGCACATATTATCAAGCAGATGAAGGAATATGCAAAGCGCTGAAAAATAGCATTGATAATCATATC